AATAAAAGAGCTTGGAACACTTTTTGCTTTCCAGGCCAGCCACTGTGGTCCATTTCCAGAACCTTGGTGGTTTCATTTAGATGACAGGCTCTTGAGTAAGTTATGTACTGTCCTCTGACTCAACGCATCCTTCTCTGATGACAGGAGAGTAAGATAGTAAGCTTCTAACAAAAAAAGAAAGTTGAAGAGAGTAATAACTATTTGGGGGGAAATGGCGTCAGGATTGAGGAAGAAAAACAATTAGATTTAGGCAACTATAGTTCTCAGGGAACTCTGAGAAAGTGGCATTTAGCTGAAAGAGAAAAAGAAGGCAAGTGTCTTCATTTAGTAAACAGGAAAATAGGGTAGGATGGCAGAAGGTGAGGTGGTATGGAGATAAGTCAGGAGCCCAATCATACTAGGCCCTGAGAAACTGGAAGTGGATTTGTGGTTCAATTAGTAAAGCAACAGCATTGAGTGAAAAACTAAGGGGCAGTACCCAGACCATGAATTCAAGCCTTAGGATCAGCACAAAGGAAACCTAAATTTTATTTAAGCTCCTTTGAGGTATTTTAATTCACATTGAATTAAAAATAATTTTAGCTGATATACAAGATTGGATTATTGTGGTTCGGAAGTAGATAGACCATTTAGGATAAAAGCAGAAATCTCCAGGAAAGGCAAGCCTGTGGCTTGTCATCATGAAGACAATGACAAATATCTGATGGGGGGCTGGGAAGGTAGCTCAGCGGTAGAGTGCATGCCTTGCAAGCATGAGGCCCTGGGTTCGATTCCTCAGCACCACATAAACAGAAAAAGCCGGAAGTGGCGCTGTGGCTCCAGTGGTAGAGCACTAGCCTTGAGCTGAAGACAGCACCCAGACCCAGACTTCAGGCCCCATGACCGGCAAAAAAAAAAAAAAATCTGATGGACTTGAGGGGCAGGGCTTTGCATGAACTATGCATTAACCATAGGGGGTGGAGAAAGAATCAAGTTTATCCCTGAGCATCTTGGCTTCATAGTCAGGAGGATGGTGAAACTTTCTGCAGAGACAGGCAAGACAGCAACAGGGCATGGTTTCAAGTGGACAATTACAAGCTAAAAGTTTTGTTCAAGGTCAAGTATGAGATGATTTTGAAATGTTTGTGTGGAGCTGTTAAGGGTCAGGTGAACATAAGAGAGCTGAGTTCAGGGTGAGGCTAAGGTGGGAGGAATTATGTTGAATCACTGACACAAGTACTGGGCTAGATTTCAAGAAGTCAAATGCATTATTTATGGAGAGATTGTATGTAAGAGCCAAGAAGGGTGGGGCAGCAAAGGGGACTGAGAAGAGCACCAGAGTAGCAGAGATCCTGGCAGAAAAGCAAGGGGAAGTGACCCATGGAAATTGAAGGCAACTGGAGGAGGAGAAGGAGGGGGGCGGGAATGGCCAGTGGTGGTGAGACACTGGAGGCAGAAGGGAAAGTGGGACAGGGAAGTGAGTCCTGGATCCTCTATACTTGGCCTTGGCTGTAGGAAGAGTGTTGGAAGAAACTGGATTGCAGGGATTGAAGAAAGAAGAACTGAGGAAGTGAGGGTTGGAGAAGAGATGGCTAAGTAGTTTGCCTGTGAAAAAAGGCTGTGCTGTGGGACAGGAGTCCTTAGAAAATCTGAGAGAAGGGGCTGGGAAGGTGGCTCAGTGGTAGAGCGCTTGCCTTGCATGCATGAGGCCCTGGGTTCGATTCCTCAGTACCACATAAGCAAAAAGAAAAAAGCCGGAAGTGGCGCTGTGGCTCAAGTGATAGAGCACTAGCCTTGAGCTGAAGAGTTGAGGGATAGCGCCCAGGCCCAGAGTCCAGGCCCCACGACCGGACCCCCCCCCCAAAAAAAAAAAAAGAAAATCTGAGAGAATATGAGAGCAGAAATTGGTCTAGATGATACAGAAGCACTGGGCAACACTTAGTCTGCTCTGGAAAAACAAAAGATCCTTTTCCCCACAGCTATTATTTATGAGTGACTTAGAATACATTTACCATATTTTAAAGAATAGAGTGATGAACAGATCTGCTGTTTTGGCATGGAGCATTGAAACGTTTTTGCAGGCCTATCTATTTTAGCCTATCAGTTAGCAGTTGTCATGCCCGAGGCATTTATACATCTATGTATCAATGTAAACTAACTCACCCACAATCACACAGTTGGGGCTTGACCCAGGTTACAGGCCCATCAAAGTAGAGGGGAGACCCCTCCCTTCTGTACTGGACACTTAGGGATGAGCTTCTGTGTGCTGCACAGTCCAGTACACCAGTGCTTCTGCACCCAGGTGCTCAAAATGGAAATTAGTAATAAATTTGTCGTATGATGAAAAATTATTCCAAGATTTAAAGAATAAATTATTCTTCTGAGTGTGTGTTCACAAAGGTGATTAAAATTGAAATGGTGCGTGGAGCTGGAGTCTGGAGGACTTTTTTGGCTTTGAATCATGATCCTCTAGATCTCATCTAGATGAATAGCTAGGATTATAAATGTAAACCAATGGTGCCCAGCGTGAATACGATCTTCTCAGTTTCTCCCATTCTGTAGGGTCCTGACTACAAGCATGAGAGGTTCACACCTGGCTAGGGGTGGTTCTATGATGAGCATTGGGAGCTAGAGACTGGACACCAATTCAATCGCAAGTAGTGCAGTGCTGAATAGAAAGGAAGTGAGTGTAGCTACTATAGATAAATAGTGGAACAGTAACAATGGCAGGGAGAAGAGGGAATATGT